CAAGGAGTAGCTCCTGTTCTTAAGGATTTATTTGAATCCCCTAATACAGAATTAGATAAACATATTACTGCTATTGAGGTAGCAGCAGCAGCAGCAGCAGCAGCAGCTAAATGGGAAGATAATGCATGCAGACAAACTTTATGGTCTATTCTTTGTCCTCTTATGGTAAATATTAACCCTAAACCCTAAACCCTAAACCCTAAACCCTTATTTATATATAGACCACGCGCCAAATCCTCATGATATATATCAAACTCTAAACCCTAAACCCTACTAAACCCTAAACCCTAAACCCTAAACCCTAAACCCTAATTTTCGTGTTTGTGTGTGTACAGTCAAGAAGTTTCTCTCAACTAGATGATGATCGATTAGCAGCATGGAATGATGGTCTAAGATTTGCCCTTTCTCCTTCTGCTGCTCCTCTCCGCCTGTACGACCAGCAGCAGCAGCAGCAGCAGCAGCAGCAGCAGCAGCAGCAGGGGACGGAGAGGCTAAGGGGAGCAGAAGCAGCAGAAGCAGCTAGGGCACGATTAAGACCTTTTATTAACTTCTTTATTGATGCAGAAAGAGCTGGAAACCCTAAGGATACTATTCTTGTAAGAAAATAATTAGGGTTTAGGGTTTAGGGTTTAGGGTTTAGGGTTTGGGGTTCAACATCTTGTTAGGGTTTAGTGCATGCACCTATAATATAATATAGCAAACAAAGATACATAAATAATATCTTATCGTTGTTGCTATTGTTGCTGCTGCTGTTGCTCCTGTTGCTGCTGCTGCTGCTGCTGCTGCAGTGTGTACCCACGGACGACTTAGGTACAGCCTCCTCAGGGTCTCTGACTCGGCAGCTGCGGCTGTACTATGCGCTGCTGCTAGTCTCTACCTTCTCTGCTGCTCCTACCTGCAGCAGCAACTTCAGCAGCAGCAGCAGCAACAGCAGCAGCAGCGGTGGCATCGCGACCTGCAGCAGCAACAACAACTGCAGCAGCAGCTGCTGCTGCAGCTGCGGTTGCTGCTTCGGTGCTGCAGTGCTTAGGGCAGGACAGGAAGCCATAAGGCGCTGCTTCGGTCATCCTTATAAACAGGTACTGCTGCAGCACAACTGCAGCAGCAGGAGCTGCTGCTGCTGCTGCTGCTGCTGCTGTTGCACAACAGCTCCTATATTCTCTGTCGTTTAGGGTTTAGGTGTTGGGGTTTGGGGTTTAGAAATTAGGGTTTCTGATTCGTGCTGCAGTAGCATCTACAGCCTAGGGTTTAGGGTTTAGGGTTCCGAGGGTTTAGGGTTTAGGGTTTGTGTTATAGGTACGAGAGGAGGTTGCTCGTCTTGTGGTGACATCTATCGCTGGCTTTGACAAACCCGAGATGCAGCAGCCGCAGCAGCAGCAGCAGCAGCAGCAGCAGCAGGCTGGTACCGGTTGCTGCTGCAGTTGCAACCCTGTTGCTGCAGCGCAGCAGCTGCGGCAGTTCATGTATCAGCAAGCAGCAGCAGCAGTTGGTCCTGTCGCTAAGGGAGAGTCTCCTACTGCAGCAGGTTTGTGCTTATGTGCATCTGCTGCTGCTGCTATTGCTGCTGCTGCTGCTGCTGCTGCTGCTGCTGCTGCTGCTGCTGCTTGCACACGTGTCTATATCTTTCTCCTTATTTCCCTCCCGTGTTGATCCCCAAACCATTTATCTTGTTTTAGGGTTTAGAATTTTAGGGTTTAGGGTTTAGGGTTTAGGGTTTAGGGTTTAGGGTTTAGGGTTTGTGTGTCTATTCAGAGCGAGAAGCAGGGAAGGAAAGGTCTCCCTTTTTATGTATTTGTTTAACTGTATTAAGTTGTATAGGGGGATTAGCAATAAAAAGAGACAATAAATTACTTTCTTTGTTAGGTGCTGCTGCTGGTCATACATATACTATATATAAGCAGCTAACTGCAGCAACAGGACAGCAGCAGCAGCAGCAGCAGCAGCAGCAGGAGCTGGAGAAGGGTTTGCTGCTGTCTTTGCTGCTAGCAGCATGCAAACATCCTGATTGTGATCTAAGCAGCAGCGCGTTGCATGCAGCACAACTTTGCTGCTTAGCAACGCAGCAGCAGCAGCTGCTGCTGGATGCAATACAGCAATGTAGGCCTTATCTATACTATATACAGCAGCAGCAGCAATATAATAAACAGCAGCAGCAATACCTCATGCTGCTACAGCTGCCACAACAGCAGCAGCAGCAGCAGCAGCAGCAGCAGAATAAGCCCCTGCTGCTGCAGCAAAGGGACTTTGTTTATTCTCTTGTCTCCTTCATGAGACATCCATCATGGAAAGTTAGGGCTATTGTCCTAGCATTATTAGGGGTAACTCTTCCTGCTGCTGCTGCTGCTGCTGCTGCTGTTGCTGCTGCTGCTGCTGTTGCTGCTGCTGCTGTTGTTGTTGTTGTATCGTTCCCTCCTTTGTGTCTGTTGCATGCGTTATCCCTATAACCACGAACAGCAGCAGCAAGAGCAGCAGCAACATCTCTACAACAGCAGCAAAACATTAGCAGCAGGAGCAGCAGGAGGAGGAGGAGGAGCAAGTATATATATATATATAT